CATCTACTCAGTGCAGAGCACAGAACTAGGGGCTTCAGGAAAGGCATACGGTATTAGAGGATTCTGTCTTCTTTGACCAGGGTAATCATACAAAGTCATGCCTAGTACACAATCATAGTGCAATATAAAAACAAGTACATTACAAGTGCCTTAGGTGACTGAGGTGAAAATTCTATGGACTCTCTCCTCTGGGCCCTGTTCTCTGATAGAAGACCAAAAATGTTTACATTTCATTTTGTTGTTTTTTTATTATATGGAATATGGCATCAATCATAAATTAAATCTTTGGGGGGAGGTGGTAAAACCAACAAGAAATCTGAAGAAATTGAATTGCTTAAAGCTAAACAGCTATAACTAGAAATATATATTAAATATATTTATAAATACATAAAAGTCAGATGCCCATGTGCCTTCTCTACTGTGTGTATGTGGATGGTTAGCCTGTATTTCTGAAAAGCTGTACCTTTCTTGAGTCTAGATTCAAATCGTACAGCAGGTGGGTTGGAAACATCAGGCATGCATGTCAGGGGCTAGGGCACCAGGCTACCCTGGCACGCTGTCAGACCGACTGCTGGACTGCTGCTTGGCATTAACTACAAATCTCCCCTGCCGGCAGCTCATGTTCCAGGCTCCTGGCTGGGACTTGCCTCTTGCCCTGCGTCGTTTTGGGCACGTAGGCAGGCAGGAAGGCACAACTGGGGATAGTTGAGCAATGTGGAGCTGCTGTGACCACAGCTGGTGCCAACAGCCTGGCGCACAACCCACCCTTCCCCCTTTCCTCTTCACTGAGCACTGCCAACAGAGGTTGCAGTTATCTAAAATATATGATACACAGCTTCTAGGACAGTTTGCTTATTCAGTTACTAAGTTTTGTTTTGTTTTTTTTTTTATCTTTTCCCTCCAATTTAAAATGTAATTATTCCTGTGCTTATATGGAGAACAAGCTATTTCCATCACCCATTCTCCCTGAGGACAATAGTACACATTCTCATCACACTTTTAAGACACATCAAAGTGCCTCTAAATGTGGGAAAAGAGGAACAAGTTCAGAATAAAGAGACAGTATTTACTATGAATAGCAGTTAACTCTGATTATTTGCAAGAAGCATTTCTTAGCAAGCAAAGGGGTCCTGAAGGTTGTGTTTATGAACAACATATGCACATGCACACACACACACACACACATTCTCTATTCTTACTGGGAATCTTTATTCAAAGCAAAGAAACCATTTTAAAATTCAGATGAGAAAGAAAGCAGTCCTAATGTGCACCAAATAATTCTTTTGCTCCTTCAAAAGCCGAGTCTCACCCCAATTTTTCTTCTCCTTCTAACCTCATCTAGATTCCCAGCTGAGGGAGCCAGTGACCTAATTCTGCTCAGTTCTAAGGCAACACGGGAGCAAATTCAGAATATCTCGGTATTGGCCTTGGCGGGATTGCAGAACCCCAAAGTCGTGAGCCTCCTCCAGAGGTAATCCTGTAATCAGCGCTACCACCACTCACCCAGCCCTTCTATCAGCTTGTAGGAGAAACACCTTTACCTCCTGTCAAGCGGTGACCTAAAAAGTGTTAATCCAGTTTACATGTTCAGGGTCAGAGTGGGTACAGTGCTATCTATTTTGGCCTAAGAGAAAAGGAAAATTGCTTGCTCTAAGTATTAGATTTCTCTTTTTGTCCCTGTCCACTCCCCCAACCTCTTGGGCCCTTTAGATACATTAAAGGCTCACATGCGGCTTGTAGTTTCTCCTCTATCATCTCAAAGTTTTAACTCTTGTTCTTCACACAGGTGTCCACTCTCCTTGATTTTTATAATGAAGGGTTAGTAAAGCAAAACTTTCCAGTTCCTGATCTAAGAAGGATTGAGGTTTTAAATTAGGAATTTTATCGACATTCCCCAAACTGACTATATTCAGTGATCAAGATAAAATGCATACATAAAATCCTGGCCAATTTGCATGCTCCGTTCTTACACACACACCCCCCCCCATTTTTAACCTATGACTGTGACATGCATTTGTTTTTAATAATATCTTAGTTTTATATAACCATATATTCAAGGTCTTTATCTTTCAAGGTACATGAAGGTTGTGCATTTAATCTTTAGCATGGTTGTAGGAGATATGATTCACAGAGTAGAGAATAGATAAAAATAAGCATGCATGCAGCAGCATGGTGCCGAATCATCAGAACTCACCATCTTATCAACAAATAGAAGTCATTCTTCTTTATTTCTTGAGCAAAGCAGTTTCATATAAGATAAATAGCTTTCAGTCAGAATAGCCTAACATGTAATATGCATCTTTTTGACATGTATATTCTAGTACTACTTTAGACCATAAGATTAAAATAAGAAAAATCTCAGGGCTGTGTGTTAACAACAAACACTGGTTGCATCGGCATTTTTTAAAATATTTTTCACCCCCCAAAATTTGGCTTTGTGTGTGTATATTTGTACATTACTGGATCTTATTAAATGATCAACTTTTAGTGACCTTCACATACCATTTTCTAAAGTCTTATAAGGGAAATAATTTGGGGGATTTTTACTTTTTTATATCATGCTTTGGAGATACTGTGTTTTGTTTCCAGGGCATAGTAGGATGTGTTTCTAATAGATGTGGGAGACTGGGTTTAGATTTGTGACCTTGAGAAAGCTACTTAGCTACTCTGGTTTTAGTTTCCCCATCTTGCAAAGGAAGCATTTGCGTCAGATGGTTTTTCAAATTGCACCTAGCTCTCATATGATGTTATCTATACATAATTATTCTTTCATTAACATAGAAAGTAGAGGGGGGAGGAGGGGGGTGAAATGAAGCGGTTAAGTGGACACCATACATGGCCCAAGCCACAGCGCTGGACTGATCTTCCCGCCGTGGGTCCAGACTGAGCACTGTTTTATGGCTAAAAACCTTTCTCATCCAGGCTCTCTCGCCCTTCCTATTCACCAGTCCTGTTGCAATGCGGCCATAGCTGTCTTGCACCTTTCAGGCAGTAATGTTGTTGCAAGGTTTCTGTTCTCACTTACGTATTAACTTCCACTTTCTGAGATGGAAAACTGAACTGAAGCTCCTGAGAAAATTGGCATAGTAGAAAACTTCAATTTTCAGATATTCATTGTTCTTTCTATATTTACCAGTTTGCATGTGTGGAAGAAAGAACTTGGATTTTTATAGCACGCTGCCTTTGATTAAAACTTCAGCTCTGCTACTTATCTAGCTGTTTTTGGCCTTTTTAAAATTCATCTCTGAAATGTTTTCTCATCTGTGGAATGGACAAAATACCTATATGGATGGTATTACAGAAGAAAAGCAATGTGTTTACAAGTGCTCAAAAAATACCTTTTCCCTCCCACTACTTCAACATCAAATTATTCTGGAGGGAATAGACAACGATACTGAACATTATCAATTCCAAGAAATCTACAGAATCTGTTTCTTAGCCTCACATCATTTAGTGAGGAGCCATGTTTAGAAATGACAAGATGTGAAAGAAACTGCCTCATTTACCCCAGAGATATTGCCTCATCAGTTTACATGGATCAGTTTTGTTTTGGCTTGTACTATTGAGTAAATTGGCTACTTTCTTAAAGTTGATCTTTGTCTGCCTTTGTGACCTCATCCCCTTCTCCTAGCCCCCACAGTTTCAAAGGATGCATATAAACACCTGGGCCTAAGAGGAAATAAATTCTGGAGGTGTCAAATTAGTCTTACATGTGAAAGCTCTTTGAAAAGGAGGAAGATCTATGCAAACGCAAGACGGTAAGTAAGAATAAAGTGAGATGCAGTTTCTAAAAAAGTAAATTTATTCCTACGAGATAAAAGGCCAGTGTATAAACACGTGCTGTGTAACTATGCCCATTTTGGAGCATATGAGACAGGATACAGGAAACCTACTACGAGACAGTCATGAGGCCTGGGTCCTAAATACAACTTTCCTCCTTGCTCTCCATCTGGGCTGTTACTTGTAGAAAGTAGAGTAGCATCACAAACACTGGCCCTGGCTCTCCACAATTTACTATGTGTGTGAGCTTGGACAAGTTACTTATCTCTCCATTTCTCATTATAAACACGGGACAGTACTCTCTGACTCACAAAACTGTGGAGCGCATTAAAGAAGATAATAAATGTAAAGATCTTGGCTCAAAGTTTTACTCCGAGAACAGGTTCAAAAAAAGTAGCTGACGATTATGAGCAATATTACTTTTGAAAGAGAAAGTTGGATTAGATGATCTGAGTTCTTTTTCATCTTTAAAAGTCGCTACATCCCTCTTTCTTCCTTAGAAAATATTCCTTGTGGAGTTTGGTACGTCCTGAGCTCAGGGTTTCAGAAGCCTGACCAGATTTAGTAAGAAGAGCGTTCAGATTGGGCAACTGTAGAAACAAAAGCTATCCTATCTTTACAAACCCAGTTGGTAAGTGAATGTGCATGCATTACTCCATCTTCAGTTTATACTTCCAAATACAGAGAACCATCTCAGATAATAAAAGTGAGTGCTGAATATTTTTGCAAGCTATTATAACATTTTGAAAGAATACTATAAACACATACAAGATGTGACTATATGGTAATGAAATGAATTTTCCTGCGCGGTGCGAAGGCTCATTAGCTTAGAGTCATGCTCGGCGCTGTTCTACAGAAGTTGCATATGACATTTCTCACTAATGGCTCATGCTGTCACTAAATATTTGTCTCTAACTCCCTCAGTCTTTGGGAGTGCAGACATCCACTTGTGTGTAAATTAATAGCTCTGCAGAATCTAAATGAGATGCCCAGAAAAGTCCTTTCATTTTCTGAATCCAATAAGGAAAAAAGTCCTCTTCCTAATTATAGACCTGACCAGAGTTGTTGTTTCTAAATAAATAAGAAAATACTTATTTTATGGGAAAGAATGCTTTATAGGATTCTCTGTAAATAAAACTGGGGCTTTGTTTTTAATAATTGTGCTATTTACATTGAACTGTGATTTTCAGCTAGGGAGAAAAGTAGGTGTGCACACTTACTTCCTTCATCAAGGAGATTTTCAGCAGCTGATAGTAATCTCATCCTGTCTTCTGGGTTTTTAATGTTTAATTCAATGAGATGACTCTCTCGTATATCCTTTAAATCTTCTAGGGTCTCATAACCATTGAGCAAAAGTGTTGAGGTATATTCCTATGGGGGAGAAAAAATATGTATAATATAAACTAGTCAGATTCAAATATTTTATTTTTAGTTCTCTTTAGATTTAAAGAAAGTGTAGAAGTGCGTATGGAAACCAAAGGCACCGATAGAACTTTTGCTTAACTTTACTTTGTACTAGTTCTCCACATACAAACTCTAGGGCATTTAAAAGAGTATGTTGGAGAATTCTCACCTTCTGGAAGGACAAATGTAAAGAAGAAATAATTACGTTAAGCCGTGCAGTGCTAAATCATGGATCAATTAAATAGCTGGATCATTCATCCCATTTGGCACTTTTTCACTTCTCAAATAGTTCAATTGACAAAGCTAGCGTGTCCTTACGTCTATCAATAAAATGCCTCTAAAAGAGTAATTATAGTAATATTTCTGAATCTACATCTTGTTTGCTGGCTTGAAAAAATAATTTACCCTCACTAACTTCTTGGGGTAGTTTAAAAAATGAATTTGAAACAGGCATGAAAAATAGACTTAGCATTTGGTGAAAGTCATTATATAAACCTAAGGAATTCCAGACTTTCTATTTAATTAAAAGTTTTTATTAAGCATAAAAGCACTGTGGTTAGGAAAAGTATTGTTTTCTTTTCTCAGCATGTATAGTTTGTCCATCATTTGCATCAATATATATTAATTTAAAATTCATAGGCTTCTGATTTCTGAGTCTGTATGTTATTTATGTAACCTTTGTTCTCTCTAACAGAATAAAAATGCAAAGTGAAGCTGAATGCTTTACAGCTTCCTCAAAACTTCCTTCCATTTTACTTGATCATAATTTCAGTATCCTTAGTTTGGTTACCAAAACTGAGTAAGAGGAAGCATAAAAGTTTTAAGTAATTAGGAATAACTACCAGCCCCTTTAAAAAAAAGAGAGAGAGAAAGAAAAAGTACCACTTCTTTTAAAAATAATGTCTCTTAGAAGGAGCACTGAATTAGAACAGAGAAACCAAAATCCCCATTCTGACATAATCATCTAATTGTGGGTTCTTGAGTAAGTTATTTCACTTCCTTAGACCTTGGTTTTCTCATAGGTCACAGAGCAAACAAAAAGAAGAAGCAGGGTTTAAACTTCGTTCTTCATCCAAGCAGTACCGCATTTGGGGGGCACCAAAAATAATATAAGAGGGCCTAGGTAGTGTGTCTACAGACAGGAGTATAACTAGATAATTCAGGAGAAACAGTTAAGGAAAGTTTAATTGGCTATTGCCTTGATGAATTTTGAAAACTATCAAAGTACTGCTGCATTAATATTAGAAATGGGTTGCAAAACAGTAAATTGAGTGAGGCTAGGTAAATTGTATGTATACACCATTTAACGAGGTAGAGATTTCATAAAAATTTTGCTAATATAACAAGAAAAGAATTGGATTATAAATACAGACAACACAGTTTCCTTAACAAAATCATCATGGGGGCTTAATGATTACTATTTCCTAAGAAATTGCTTTTGAAACAGTTATATTTAGTTATCTTCTCTTGACTTGCTTTTGATCTCTGCCCTACAGAAAGTGTAATTTTCTTTCCCTGTTTCCTTTCAATTCTCTGGATTTTTACCTTTACTCTTCATACTCTCTTTATCATTCTCATTTCCATGTTTTCTCTGGACCTTTTATTCTCCTAGTTATTTTTCATTTTTCACTGCACTTTCTCAACATTAATCTCTACTGTCACTGCTAAGTACCATTTGAGTTTAGTCCAAGGGAGGTTATATCAAGACCTGTCCTTGTGTAATAAAAGTAATAAAGGAGAAATAAGAAGTCTAATTGGAAAACAGATTTTTCTTTGCTGTAAGTCCTATATATTTTTTTTTTTTTACCACTGTACCAACACTGATCCATTCTCCTCAATTATTCCATCCAGAGGCCACCAGAATCAAATAGGTCACAGGTTTGCTAACCTGAAGGTGAATCCTCTCTAAGAACTCCTGCAGAGTCTTGGGTTTTTCCTTTCCACTCTTTCGGTGTGCCTTTATTTTCTTGGGGGCTGCTTCCTCTTCGGAGATGACATCCACATAAATAAATTTGAAGTTTCCCACCTTATTGTTCAACATTCCTGTCCACATCCCCATTGGCGTTTTGCAGATAATGTCTATGATGTCTCCTTTCTAAAGACAAAGAAACACACCAATGAGTTTTCAGAGAACTTTGGTGCTATGACAATTAGTAGAAAGAATGGAATCATAGAAAATTAGAATAATGAGGGAATATGATAAGGGAGGTTACTGATAACAGAAATAAATCTAAGAGAAAATTTCTTTTAAAAAGTTCAAGGGAACTCTTTGCTAGTAATAATGAAGAACACTTCAACAAGCTTGAAGAAAAGCTCCTACATGCCTTTGATGACATCTTTATGTTTTTGGTATATCAATTTATGAACTTATAATTGTAGGGCACAGTGGAATTTACAAAGTACTTTTGCATACAGTGAGTCATTTTATGCCCATGACACACTTCTTAAGTACATATACAAGGTATCTTTGTAACTCTAAATATTATGGAAAAGAAATGCAAACATTAAATAACTTCTCAAACTCATGGCAGTCAGTTGTCTGAACTCAAAAAATGATGCTTTCTTCATTCATCTTGTCAAAGCAATAGATATATAGCAAAGCTCAAGCCATCATTCCTGGAGGGGCTCTCAAATGGGGAAGGGAAAGAAAAAGAAGTCTCTGTCCATGCTTCTAGTTCATCTGAAAAATTTATCTACAGTAAAAAACCATCTAAAGTATTGCATTCATCTAAAGTCGTGAAACTGTTAAGAGCTTCGTATATCTAAATATGTAACAAAAGTATGTGTGTGTGCACTAAGGATAAATTATGCTACTGAATTATTTTAGAGAAGATAATACTTAGATTGAGCTTCACAACAGAGTTTGGATTGAAATATGAATGAAGCACATTAGGATGGACAAACCAGTTGGTCTTTTTCTTCATTCATATCTAAGACTCTGATGGGCTGCAGGGTGCCAGTTACTGGCAAGATTAGAAAACCCCCAGGGGTACTTCTTTGTAAAGAAAATTGATTACTACACAAATACAGTGCCTACATTTAAAAGTCACATTTCCTCCTTTGAGACTTACAAGTTTCTACCCCGGAGAGGACATTATAGATTCTGATATGGGGACTACCCTCAAACAAACAAAACATTAAGTCTGCTACTAAAAATGTTCTTTCCCCATGTTCTATGAATGTGTATTCTTCCATCTAAAACACACATTGTCAATGTGATTAAAAGATTTGATCTTTCTGCTTTGTGATCATCTGCTTGTCTGACCTTGTGAGCTGTTCATCTGGTTCTTCCTGCCTTTAACCATGGGGAATCAAATCCTGGGCTAGATGGGATCAGCTAAGCAGACCTAGAAAATCCCCAGAAGCTCTGGGGGAAGTTTCTAAGCATGGGAGCTCTGTGCTGCATCCTTCCTATTATCCTCTAAACTTATAAAAGTGTACGTTCTAGGAAAGCCCACAGGTCACCAAGCAAAGACCCAATTTCATTATGGATAAGACCCTTGATATAAAGGATAGCATTCAATCCTCAGTGGTGACTGGGGGATTCTTACTGTGTCCTACAAGAGCTCTCCAAATAGCACCTTAGACAGCATAAGTGGTGGGGAACTGGTATGGTATTATAGGGAAGGTGAAAAGCTCTCCTGAGTCAAAATGTGTTCAATTTGTTCCCTTCTACACCCTCCCCCAACAATGGTTACTAGGCTACAAATATTCTTTCCCCAAAACTTTAACTTAGACTTCAAATCATTTCATAGAAACGACTAAGGAGCTAACTATGGAAAATAATGTTTTCCTCATTCTCCCGCTGAGCTTACTCTGGTTTGTTACAACAGAGGGGATAACGAGAAGAGCAGAGTGTCTTGAATGTTAAGTAATAACATCAATACTTCATAACTTATAATTGCTGGTTAACATTGGCTTGGTGTTGATAGTATAGAAAAGTCATAATTTCTGTCCTTTTAGCTATATCAGTTTGTGTTACTAAAAGGAATAATTTAACATGTATTAAATACTTTAGCACCAAACCTTCTATTTGTACGATTGCAACAGCACCTCCCCTCTAGTGTGAGTAGGACTATGAAAGCGATGGATTTCACACCCATGATTATGTTGTATTTTATGGTGCAAGGGACTATGCAGATGTAATTAATGTCCCAAATTAGTTAATGTTGTAATTAAGAGGGAGATTATCTGGGTGTTTCTGACTTTATCAGGTAGGAGCTCTTAAAGAGATTTGAAACATGAGTGAGCTCTTCCCCTGCAGGCTTTGAAGGAGCAAACTGCCATGTTGTAGAGAGGACCATGGCTGGCAACCTCAAGGGTCCGAGAGTGACTCCCAGACAATATCCAGCAAGAAAGCAGGAGTCTCAGTCCTGCAACCACAAGCAATTGAATTCTGCCTTGGAAGAGGACCTGAGCCCCAGGGAGATTACACCTCCAGCTGTCACCTGGATTTTAGCCCAGTGAGACCTTAAGCAGGGAATGCAATTGGGCCATGACCAAATGTTTGACCTATAGAACTGTGAGGTAATACATTTGTGTTGTTTAAAGTCCCTGAGTTTGTGGAAATTTGTTCCACAGCAATAGAAAACGAATACAGAGAATAAGAGTTAAGAAGAGGGAATTCAGGAGGGAATATCATTGGGAGAAAGATGTCTGGTTATTCGTAGCAGCTAACTTAGGTACCGAAGTTGCCCAACCAAGTCTGGTTCCCAAGGGAGTTGCTGTGAGGGGCTCTTGCCTGATGTCGCCATCTTTTCTCTCTCTCCTTTTAACTCCAGCAAGTATCAGGCAGAGCTGGGCACCGCCACCTGTGAGGCTTTTGGTTTTCAGAAAAATGTAGACAATTTCTTCTCCCCTGATAGGCTCGGATTCTGCATTATCTCCGTAACAGCAACTTATGCTGTAGCCTCAACAGAATCTGATTCCCCTCTCCCACCTCATGTATTTTGTTCAAATTCTTGCCACAGTAACCGCGTCCTCAGTTCTACTGCTGGGAAGAACACACTCGCTGCCCCCCGCCGCCCCCCCACTGCTTGTACTTCCTGACACAGATCATACAACGAGTGCTAGATAAACCATACAGAATGCAGATATGATGTGCACACACCTTGATTTTGAGGGAGTCAGTGTCATAGGGGCTTGGTGTAAAATCTGTATGTACTCTGGCACGGCCACAGAATGGTCCAGAGTAGGGGCCATCATCATCAAGTCGAAAGCTATCCCGGTTACTTGTACCATCTGAACAGCTTGTTATTCCACCTGATGAAAGCAAAGCAGGGGTTAACAGTTCTCATTGAAGGTTCGTAACATTCTGAACCATCGTCTGGATAGAGCTAAGCAGGGATAATGCTGAAGCACTGGATGCCAACCTTTTGAGGGGGTTCTAAGTGATGGATTCCTATTTTTTCTGCCTCCCAGTCACTCTCCATCATTGACCTCTATCCTCCGAGCCATTTCTGAGCTTTCTCCAGCCAATCTGACCGTTCTTTCCTCAACCACTAACCCAAACACCCTCTCACTACAGTCTCTGTGATCTGATTCAGTAGCACAGTGTTTTGAGCATTGAACACTTGCCAGAGGCAGACGATACAGACTTAACTCCCTATGCAGGCCAGACAATTAATTTTGTACCTGTAAACAAAGACAAAAACCTATAGCAACAGTTTGACCTTTATGTGCTACTGATCACAAATGGTCAAAGCATAAGACTACAGCGTTCCCTATACTTAACCACAATGTAGCTAGAATGCTCTCCCAAACATCCTATTATGTACCAAAAGCCATTTTGAAACAACATCTCTACGCATAAAAGGTAGCACTTTTGCTTGTGTGAATGTGAAGGAAAGAGAAAGTGTGTTCCAGTGTCTGTACTCCCAAGTGGTTCTAAACTTTCTAAAGTGGGCTTTTAAAATTGCTCCAAATCCTTGTTCTCTGGTCCTTTTCCCTTCTGAGTTTGAACCTCAAGGGAAAAAAAGAAAAAGATTCCATTTTTGCTGCCTGCAGGATGGGGGCAAGAATGGCTCCCAGTGGAAGTAATTCTCGGTTTCTCCACCACTCTCACCCCTCTCCACTACTTTCACTGTCTCCTTCAGGGTGGCCTTTCAGTGCTCTGTTCAAAGATGAAACAGCCCTGGTTTCTCTACTATTGATTCAAATAATTATGGAAATAAGGTAAAGAACCTTAGAGATGTTCTATATTGAATATGAACCATTGTAAGAAAAGGTGAGTTGCATGTAACTAAGAAACTAATTTGTGTAGGACAATAGCGAAGTGGTCACCATCTCCTTACACCTTCCCTTCCATGGCCACCCCTGGTGCTGGCTTTTCATGGTACATTCCAGTTAGTAAAATTCTACCCACATTCAGCATTACAATTGAGAATTTTAAAACTTCCAGCAGAAGTGAATAGTAATGAAATCTGAATTTCACATATGCAAAAATATATCCTTCAAATGTTTCTACATTAGTTTTTTTTTTCCACAAAATAACTCTTCTTCAGCCAATAGGAAAAGTAGGAATAAAATTCAGGATATCTGAAACATCTGGTCTTTGCAATCTATCTTCAAATAACAGAAGCAGTTGATTAAAAAGGAAATGGAAAATAAACCTTGCAAAAAAAGAAAACATTTAAAAGCCCTGAAAAGATCAGAGGAATGTATAACAGTGTACACATAAAAAAGTTATAAGGTGCTCTGCAGTTTCAGTAGTTTCATCCAAATATTGTAGCAGGCTATGTGACTGAAACCTGAACGACTTCCTTCTTGGAAACAATGATTTTAGAAAATCCTGTTGAACACATGCTGCTTCCTTTCTGTCACCTGGTGATATTCCTTCTATTTAGTATCTACATTAGTGTTTCATTCTTGACTCACTAATGCTGGATGGACACCTAAAAAGTAAATGTGGGAATTGATGCATATGTCCTGCTCTTTTCAGAATACTTCGGGCAAAAAGGAACAGAAAGGAAGGGAAAAAGTGAGGACAGGAGAAGGGAAAAAAGACAAGAAAGAAAGAAAGAAAGGAAAGGAGGGAGGGAAGAAAGGAATAAAAAGGGAGGGAAGGAAGAAGAGACAGAACAGGATTTCATTTATCTGAATACGTCAAGTCATTTTAAAAATTTTGACTCAAGATAATGCTAGTTCTCCTAAGCAAACATTTTTATTTTAGGGATGCAGATTTTAGTCACCCAACATGATCTTTTTGAAGCATATCCCCAAGAGTTCTGCCAACTACAGTGTTAAAAGTTTCAAAATAATACATAATTCTGTCGAATATATTGTGTATCATTTTAAACACCAGCAGCTCTACCGATTCAGCAATCCTACATTTTCACTATTTCTCTTATCAAGTAGCTGGAAACTTTTTGCTAACTTGATAAGCCCCAGAGAAGCCAATCTGTTATTGCTGGCTTTCATTTGAATTTGTTTCTCTCTCTCTCTCTTTTTAATTCCAGTATTATTAACATAACAGTGTTATATCAGTTTCAGGTGTACAGTATAGTGATTCAACACTTCAGTACATTTACACAGTGCTCATCATGGTAAGTGTACTCTTTAGTCTCCATCACCCATGTCACCCATCTCCCCACCCACCTCCCCTCTGGTAACCATCAAGTTTGTTCTTTATAGTTAAAATCTGCTGTTTTTAATTAACTTAGCCCTCCCAGTAAGGATCTTGTCCCTTATTCTATAGGCTTACTTGATGAACTCCGCCCACTGTAGAGACTATCCATGGAGTCACTGGCTTTGAGGGAGACCTTCTCTGTGTGAGATCCAATCATTGGGTCACTGTTCCGATATGGGAGGGCACCCTCTCCATCTTCCTCATCCTTCAGAAAAAACATAACAGATGTTAAGTGCAGAGAACTGATATCCATGGAGATATCCACTTGATTTAACAAACAAGACATATTTTAGCAATAAAATACTTAGGAATACATCGGCATAAAATATGAGGGTCATTAATCTTTAGTTCAATTTCGAGCAAAACACGTTATACTTGGAAAAATTCTTTAGATGAAACATTCCACATTATGGAATTCAAATGAAATTATAATAGTTCATTTTGTAAATTAGGATGAATATCATATTGAGACTACTTAATCAGAAATGTTAGATTTATTAACATCTATGCTTTATCTGTTTAAGCACTTTAATTTCTTCATGTTCTCCTTATCATCTATTTATCACCATTACTAATCCTTTGAGATCTGATATTACAAGTTTAAATTCTTCATCGTTGTTTCATGTCAGTTATTTGCACCCTACCAGATCACTAGATATGAATAAAACATGCACATTTTGCAATTCTAAAGTGAAGCTTATCTAAGAAGCTTTACAAATCATCATACCAAGCTTGCACACCTAGTCAAGTGAAAAGCAAAGCCTGCATAAAAAGACAGACAATTTCAAAACAAATTACATCTGCTTGAAAACATCTCAAATGTCTTCCATATTTAGATAGTTTGGACAAAACCAAAAATTTCTTAATATTCGTCAAAATGTAATTCAATATTCCTCATTTATGAGCATTTCTAAACATCGATAAAACTTCAGAATACATATATGATACATACTCAGTTTGATTACCTGCTCTTATCCATTCCTTTATTCATTTGTTCAGTCATTCAACACAAGTTTAGAGAACACCTTGTAAGTACCTGGCACTGTTTTTGGGAACTGGGGATACCATAGTAAACAAGATAACATGGTCCCTACTCTAATGAGATACATTTTAGTGTGTTAGGGTTTGTGTGTGTGTGTGTGTGTGTGTGTTTAGTGTTTGGGGAGGTGTGTGTAAACAAAACACAAAAGAAAATTTCAGGGAATAAGTGCTATGAAGGAAATAAAACAGTGATGTGAGGGGATTAGCTACTGGATTAGGGTTAGGGGAAGATTGGCTGATTTCGATGGAGTAGCCTCCAAAGACCTCTTCTGTAGGGTAATATATGCTCTGACTTCTTGACCTGAATGTTAAGATGTAACTTGTATAAAGAATTGGAGGCAGTTTTCCAAGCAAAAAGAATAGCAAGAACAAAATAATTCAGAATTAGCTTGGGTTGTGAGCGGGAAGACCAGGCCAATGTAGCTGGAGCTGAGTGAGAACAAGGAGTGTTAGAAAATGAGCTCAGAGGGCGCCTGGGTGGCTCAGTTGGTTAAGTGACTGCCTTCGGCTCAGGTCATGATCCTGGAGTCCTGGGATCGAGTCCCGCATCAGGCTCCTGCTCAGCAGGGAGTCTGCTTCTCCCTCCCACCCTCCCCCCTCTCATGCTCTCTCTCTATCTCTCATTCTCTCTCTCAAATAAATAAATAAAATCTTAAAAAAAATAAAGAAAATGAGCAAAGAGAAGTACACTGGAGTCAGATCAGGAAGAGCTTTATAGACCAAGTGTAGTGGTCATGGAAATGTGTCACTCAGATCTTTTGCTGCGAGACCCTTCTTTACTGACAGCCCCAGCTACTGAATCCACCACGGTGTCTGCATGGAGGCCATGCTCTCTGCCAATGACTGAAACAGTGGGGATACCATTTGAGTCCATTCTGGTGGGATACAGGGCTCCTTTAATTGAAAACTTTGGTTCAAGGACTATCTACCAATCTGGCTAACACTTTCTTCCTCTCCTTTCACAAGTTTCAGACTTGCACTGTTGTCTGAAGGCTTTCCTTATCCAGTTCTTCTTTCTCTATCCTTCACATTCATTTTCCCCAATAATCTTTGGTGTGTCCATTGCTTTCTCAGGACCTGCTTCTCAGAGGACTGGAATGAACATACTATAGTAAGGAAAGGCATTGATTGTGAAGGCATTGTAAAATTTTAAACAAGGGGCATGATGTGTTCTGAATTCCACTTTAGATTCTTCCGGCTTCTGTGTGGAGAATGGCTTTTATGGAGGAAAGAGTGGAAGAATGACCAATTAGTTGGTTTTATGGCAGTCTAGGCAAGAGAAGTTGTTCTTGGTTGGTTGGTTGGTTGGTTGGTCTAAAGCAGGAATAGTTTACATAGAAAAATTAGGAGTTTTAGATAAGATTTTGGAGTTTGAGCCAAGAGGATGTGGTGATGAACTGGTGTGAAAAGTGAGAGAAAAAGGGAATTTGGAATGAATCTTGCTTGGGCTTTCTTCTTTCTTTACTTCCTTCCTTCCTACCTTACTTCTTCTCTTTCCTTTTCTTTGTTCTGTTTTTTTCTTTTCTCTTCTCTTCTTTCCATCTAGAGTTATGGCAATGTTGTCTATTACTACTGTGAAGACTGGACAAGAAACATGTTTTTTTGTAGAGCATGGAGAATTAATCATTCAGTTTTGAATATATTGGGTTCCAGATACCTATTGTACATATAAATGATGATATTGAATACGCAATTGGTTGTTTTTTTTTTAAGTATGTTTAGTTTTTTTTTTTTAAGATTTTATTTATTTATTTGAGAGAGAGCACAGAGGGAGAGGGAGAAGCAGGCTCCCCATTGAGCAGGGAGCCTGATGCTGGGCTCGATCCCAGGACCCTGAGATCATGACCTGAACACCAACTGAGCCACCCAGGCGCTCCCACAATTGGTTGTTTAAGTACAACAGATAAGATATCATAGCTAGAGATTAATTTCAGAAAAACAAAGTGATGAGACTAGATGAGATCACTGAGGGGGAGAGTAGACTGAGTACAGCATCTAGGAATAAGCCTCAGAAGGACTGAATATTTAGAGAGACAGTCTTTCCAAAGCCAAGAAAGGAAACTCTGAGAAAGAAAGAAAGCCAGAAGAATGCTCAGTTAAAGAAACCAAGAAAAGAGAATGTTTTAAATGTATTGAAATCATCACTTGTGTCAAATACAGTTGAAAAGTAATGAAAGAAGAAAAGTGACCAGTAAATTCAGCCACACAGAGGTTAATATCTATTATGATTAGTGTTTTAATGAATTATTGGGGACAGAAGTCCTACTGAAGTGGGTTAAAAAGAGAATGGACTAAGACTTGCAGATCAATGTAATAGAATTGAGAGTCAGAAATAAACCCATATATAATTATGACCATGTATTTATTATCAATCGATTTTCAACAAGGGTGCCAAGAAAAGACAACAGTAAAATAATTGTCCTTTTAACAAATTAGTGTTATGACAACTTGATATCCACATTCAAAAGAATGAAGATGGACTCCTACTACACTCCATAGAAAAATTAGTAGATCATACACCAAAATTTAAGAGCTACAGCTGTAAACTCTCGGAAGAAAGCACAGGAGTAAATCTTTGTGACCTTAAGTTAAACAGTAGTTTTTTAATTACAATATTAAAAGTTAAATGACAAAAAATAGATAAATTGGGCTATATCAAATTATAAACATCTGTGCTGCAAATGATACCATCAAAAAAGTGAAAATACAGTCCACAGAATGGGAGAAAATATATAGTATTGCAAATCATATATCTGATAAGGTACTTGCCTCCAGGATATATTTTTCAAAAGCTTAAAAGTCGACAATAAAAAAACCCCAAATAACCCAATTAAAAAATGGCCAAAAGATTTGAGTAAACATTTCTTTTTTTTTAATTTTTTTTAAAGATTCTATTTATTTATTTGACTGAAAGAGAGAGCAAGAGAGAGCACAAGCAGGGGGAACTGTAGGCAGAGGGAGAGAGAGAAACGTGCTCCCTGCTGAACAGGGAGCCTGATGCAGGGCTCCATCCTAGGATCCCGGGATCGTGACCTGAGCGGAAGGCAGACACTAACTCGACTGAGCCATCCAGGTGTCCCTGAGTAAACATTTCTTTAAAGAAGATATACAAATGGCTCATATGAATACGACAAGATTCTCAGCATCATTAGTCATCAGGGAAGAGCAAATCAAAGCCACATTGAAATTCCACTTCACACCCACCAGAAAGGCTAGCATCGAAAGACAGTAACAAGTGTTGGCAAGCATGTGGAGAAACCGGAACTGTCACACATTGCTAGTGGAAATGTAAAATGATGCAACTGCTTTGGGAAGCAGGTTGCCAATTTCTCAAAATATCAGATAGTTACCATATACCCAAGAGAAACAAAAGAATATTTCCACACAAAAACTCATAAATATTTATGGCAGCATTATTTACAATAGCCAGAAAGTGAAAACAACTCAAATGTCTATCAACTGATGAAAGGAAAAATAAAATGTAGTTTATGTGTAAAATGGAATATTATTTGGCAATGAAAAGAAATGAAGTACTGATGTTTGTTACAACATATGACATACCGTTCTTCATATACTACATGTGTGATCTTTCTGAGCCTCCATTTCCTCTATTAACATAGGAGTCATAATGGTTTTTTTCCACCTAACTTCTGAGGGAGAAAATAGATTTTGAAGTCCTTCCTAAAGGACCAAGTAATTCTTTATCTAGGAGAAGAATCTGTTGACTATTTTAAGAAAAAAATTAATAGAAAAAGACAAATGATTAGCAGAGTATATTTACCTTTTCCTCAGAAAGGGCTTTGATGTACTTTTTACCCACTTTTTTCTTCATTGTCCAGGAAATAGCTCTCATTTTTTTCCCTAAACCTCCTCCATTATTTGAAGTTTTATTTTGTTCTCCACTTTCATTTATGGGTTCCCCTTCATATACCTAGTTAGAATTGTTTACAAAAGACAGAATAATAAAGCAATAAAAATCATTGATCTGAAAACATTATTAAAGAGAAGATTTCAGATTTGTGGGCTTCCTATGTATTATGTTCAGCAGCCTCCAAAACTTCGATCTGGATATAATACATATTTTTAAAGTTGTCCAAGCCTGGTTACATGTGTTACAAACTCAGAAAATAAAACTTGCGATATCGAAGGACCTGAGCTTCACACCTAAAATTTTTTTTAAAGAATTTTAGTTATTCCTTGAATAGCTGTACAGTAGAGCCACTTTAGTTTTTATTTATTTACTGGGGGGGCGGGGAGAGAGAGCACAAGCAGGGGGAGAGGCAGAGGGAGAAGCAGACTTCCCACTGAGCAGGGAGCCTGACGTGGGACTCCATCCCAGGACCCTGGGATCATGACCTGAGCCGAAGGCAGATGCTTAACCGGCTGAGCCACCCAGGTGCCCCTGGTTTTCCCATTTTTGAGATGGGCAAAAGAGAATTAAATGACAGGCATAATGAGTGATTAAGTCTACATAGATGGAGATATTTGATTGGGGGCTTTAGAAAGGCTATAGCATGTATTCATGCTTAACTGGCATTAAAATATCCTCTTGATTCTTTAGAAATTGAAAAAAGTTTTGGAGTTAAGTAAATCCACTGAGAAAGTGCAATTTTTTCTTCTTGCAGGTGAGTATCCCATGCGTATTTCCCCCATTCTCAAGCAATAGTAAATATGAAGTTGGTCTAGCCACTAGTATAGAAATCTTCATGTAATTCATATGTAATGCATTCTAAGTATTTAACATTATCTGATACTTTGATTGGTTGATTATTGCCTGCATCTCCCACTATGAGATATGCTCCATGAGCCTAGAGATTTCATATTTTTTATTTATTCTGAACATCTAGAACACTTCCAGGAACATAACTGACACTTGATATTTTTTGAATAAGCAAAACTTCTCATGTAGAACTTTGGAGTGATTTTTTTTTTCTTTTTCTTGAAGGACCTACTTGGGTTATATATCCTCAATATCTTAGATTTCAAGAAAGGACCCTTAAGGGTCATCTAGTCTAGCATTGCCCACAATTCTTGATGGGTGGACAGATATTTCCTGAATATAAAAAAAATTAGGGGAAACTTCCCTTTAGTTAACTTGAATATTTATTTTGTATTTTTGTTATATTTAAGATTTATTTATTTATTTTAGAGAGAGAGAGCATGCATGGGGGTAGGGGGTAGAGGAGGGAGGGAGGGAGTCTCAAATAGATTCCCTGCCGGCCCAGAGCTGAAGTCAAGAGTTGGATGCTTAACTGACTAAGCCACCCAGGCTCTCCCTGAATTTTTTTTTTTTTAAAGATTTTATTTATTTATTTATTTGAGAGAAAGAGAGAGAGAAACAGCATGAGAGGGGAGAGGGCCAGAGGGAGAAGCAGGCTCCCTGCTGAGCTGGGAGCCCGATGTGGGGCTCGATCCCAGGACCCCGGGACCATGACCTGAGCTGAAGGCAGATGCTTAACCAACTGAGCCACCCAGGTGCCCCAGTATCACAAATATTTTTAATTTTAGGTTTTTCTATTGTTTCTTACAGATGTTTCAAAGAAACTACCTTAGCATATTTTCAACTTCTGCATTTTTCCATGCTGTTCTTTTTCATCGCCTGAATCACACCTTTATTAGATATTTATTTACAGTTATTGTCGTTGCTTTTCTAAGATCTGTCTCTCAGACATTAGCCTTCATGAAGTACGGATTTTCATCAATTGCAACAGTAATTTTTGAGTGCCTAATGGAAACGCTGTCCTAGAGTAGGTGCTCAAGAAATACTTGTTGAATGAATGAAAGCTGAATTGCTGAAAAACGTGTGAACTACTTTTTCAGGGTCACTAAATTCTTTCACAAATTACTAAGCCACCATTACTAATCAATGAACCTGAATGAGCCTAAGCTACTTTTACAGGTTAACCCTAGTTTTAAACGAAACAGCAGATTCTACTGTGTAGAATCTACAATCTGTGTGTGATTATGGGAAGTTAAAGGTTTATATAAGATGTTAATTGAGAATGAAATTATATGGGGTTTCTCACTATTTATATACATATATTGTCTTATTTAAAACTAAATAAATGTGGATAAACTATATAGCTATTTATAGGTTTATCCATAAGCATGTGTATATAAATAATATATATAAAGGGGATATATTATACACACATGCATATATGTGTACTAATGGATATATTTATAAAGTAATACTAAATGTCATTCTGTTTTCATTTCTTTTGTTTAGAATTCCATTACTGAAATACCAATATTTAAAAATATAGATATATACACATAGGAATCTGAAAAGTATATTGAGAAATTAAATATAACAGGAAAATTCTTTATAAAAAAACAAAAAATAAACATACAATAATGAGAATGAATAATTAAGAAATACATAAGATCCAAAACCTATTGATCTAAAATGTATCACACGTGCAGTTGCTGAATCAGGTTCAATGATAAACATTATTTTTAATTGTCTCAGTATATATCCCTCCTCTCTACTGTTTGATCAGATGTTAAACTTTTCATTAATCACATCACAGTTGGCCTGTCATTTGTGAGATAGTATAACAGAAATGCAAACTTGAAGTCAAACAAGATGTTGAGTTCTGCCTTTGTCATTTATTAACTGCGTAATTTAGAAGTACTTTTACTCAATGAAATGTATTTCTTCATTGGTAAAATAATAATACTAATAGTTCCTACACTAGAGGTAGGTAAAGTGTTTAGTGTTGTGCCTATATCATGATAAGTGTTCAATTAAATGTAGATATTATTATTACCATTATTTTTATATAGACTTAATTTTATGGGAAGCTTTCCTTAAGCTACATTTAAAGTGTTCATGGTTTGCAAACGTGGATGTAATAGTCACCTATGAGGCATATCAATGCATATGGTAGAAGTGTTGAGTGCAATTGAGCAACCATATGCTCTTCTTGACAAATTTACAACTAAGCCATTTAATCATTAAATTAAAGCAATTACCATCTACATAAAATTTAACATATATATTGTTTTATGGTGGAAATGCTCAGAAAATTTGGAATTATTTGTGTTCCTTTACATTGTAACTCTCTTTTTTTTAAATACCATTGACTATATTCCCTATGCTGTTATTTTTGCTTTCTGTGACTTGTTCACTCAGTAACTGGAAGCCTGTACCACCCTGTCCCCCAACCCTCTCCTCTCTGGAAACCATCAGTTTGCTTTCTGTCTTTTTTTATTTTTTTATTAACATATAATGTATTACTTGTTTCAGGGGTACAGGTCTGTGATTCATCAGTCTTACACAGTTCACAGCACTCACCATAGCACATACCCTCCCCGATGTCCATCCCCCAGCCACCCCATCCCTCCCACCCCCCTCTGCTCCAGCAACCCTTGGTTTGTTTCCTGAGATTAAGAGTCTCTTATGGTTTGTCTCCCTCTCTGGTTTCATCTTGTTTCATTTTTCCCTCCCTTCCCCTATGATCCTCTGTCTTATTTCTCAAATTCCTTCTATCTGTAACTCTCTTCTTAAGTTCATGTTCTGCTTTTCCTAATGTTAGGCTTCTTATAGAGCTTTTTACTTTTAATACCCAGCATGGTAACTAGGTAGTAAGTAGTTCTTTGTTCATTTATTACAAAAATATAGGCAAGACTGTGATTTTTAAATATACTTTACTTTGCAAAAGTGATATTGGCTTCATAATTTTTCCTAATGTGTTTGCATAACATTCATAAAATTGTAATAAAATACTAACCTCCGTTGAATCATCTGGTTTTGAAATGGAGTTATTCCGAAAACGATCAAAATTCCCAAAACTGCTGCTGCGCTATAAAATAGGAAAGAGAAAAGAAAGGACATTTAGGATTTGTGACTTTCACTGATAAAATTGCTAGATAGATTAGATTATGGTTCAGTAAGCGTCAATATACTGCAAATATAGGATTAAAAAAGCTCTTCTCTCTGGAATATCTAAAGGCTCTGAAAGTATAACTATTATTAACATTATAATATTTACAGTTGACAAAAATGCCTTCATACGTTTTATGTTACAGTGTTAAGAATCTTGAAGAAAATCTATTAAACTGTTTTCAATTTATAGTGTTACTTCTGCTCTTGGGAATGGCAGCCGAAGAATCTATGAATTCTAAGCTGAGCCCTCTTCAAGTGAGCTAGCCACAAACTAATTTCCATGACAGAATGACATGTACTACTAACCAACCAATAAACAAATAACAACAACAAAACAGACAAAAACATGAGTAGATCCACCAGTATGCCTCATAATCGTATTTGTCAAAAAACCAAAATGAATACAAATGCATTTATCATTGATCACTTGATAACTTGAGACTCTCTACTTGGTGTCAGAAAGAGAAGGCATACACACAGAGCTAGTCATAAATATCTTGCATTTAGGCATGCCAGTCAGAGGTTGGAAGTAAAACTGAATTTGTCCATATTTAGCATGGGATTACAATGAGACCTCTGGGTCAATTTCATTCATGGGTTTTGAGAAAAAGCTCAATATGTTAATAGAAGACTTGTTCCCTTGGATACTTTTTGCCTACAAAGCTAAATTTTTATTCTTACGTAACTCATTCTAGGCAGGTAATTATAAATAATTCTTGATATGTTACAAAGTAAATGATTCTCCTAAATACAGTTTCAACAATCTTTAGAGTCATTGAGTCAAAAAATGGATATTTCTTCACTATCTAATTTTATACATTGTTTGGAATGGTGGATATCTTGATGTTGTGTCCTTTATGTACCCATAAATCCTAAGAATATGTTCTATCTCAAGAACTTAATTTCATTCCAAGCTTATAATATTTTCAGAATAAGCTGCTGGTACTGAAAAATAACCTGGTCATTTGAAAAGTTAACAATGGGAGCCAGTAATTTATAAAACCGTGTCTTGTCCTTTCAGAAGTCACAGCCCCGTTTAGTACAAGTCAGCTTGGAAGGCTCGTTGTTCTTACAAGCACTCTTAGACTCGTGTTTCCCCACCAGCTATCTTTAAAACTCCTTGTTTCCGCCTGGGTGGCTCAGTTGTTAAAAGCGTCTGCCTTCAGCTCAGGGTCCTGGGATTGAGCCCCATATCCGGCTCCCTGCTCTGCGGGGTGCCTGCTTCTCCCTCTCCCACTCCCCCTGCTTGTGTTCCCTCTCTCACTGTGTCTCTCTCTCTGTCAAATAAATGAATAAAATCTTTAAAAAAAAGATTTACAAAACTCCTTGTTTCCCTTTTAAATGAGGTGAAATAAAAAGATCCTGATGCGTGACAAGGGGTTAGTTTGATAGACAGTGTGATACGTAATATTGCCCCAAGGACGATGGCTGTGTTAGACACAATTAACGCCTTTTGCTGACTCGCCACCGCTGCTGAACAAGCCCTTCAGCTTGTGGCAAGAAGAGAAAGAGAAGGGCCGAAACTGAGAACCACACTGGAAAATACAAAGTCTTCTCATGCAGGGCTTACTAACCTAGAATGACTTCCCAGAGCATTAATCACTTCTACTTGCCTAGTAGGCATTTCCATGAGGCTATCATTGCCCAGAGGTCACAAAAGGGAATTATTGTTGTCCTGCTTATAAACAATCTGAACACAGGGAAATCTGTTACTCTTTTATATACTTGAAACATTCTGATGGCCTATTGGAACCTATGCCTAGGGCAATTTTGCAACCTGCATCTAGCCTGCGTCCTGCCTATTAAATATTAATGAGGGTTACAGCATGATTTCCACCACTGGATAATGGGTCCTGTTGCCCAGGAGGGCACAGAATAGGCTCACTTCAGCATTTCTCAACACTATCGTCTGCCATTAAGTAATCAATAATCACCACCTTTTAAAATTAATTCTCCCCTCATTATATCAATAAAGAGAAGCAGATTTGGAAGTCATGGTTTAAGCAGTCTTTAGACTATTACTTTGGGTTTTGTCAGTCATCTCATTGTGAATCACTCAACAGCTTTAAACCAAAGGAGTATAATATCAATCCATGATAAGACACCATTAAGAAGCAAATCTAAGTATTTAAAATGATGTTTTTAAAATTTCATTATTCTTTAGTCTAAAAGTTAGTGACTTTCTGAGATGGTTTCATAATGTATAGGTTATGGCTTATGATGAAAAGGGCTAATGTCTACTGTGAGGTATGCACAACGAACAAATTTATAATTTCTACTCCTATTAAGTTTCCAATGAAAAGGTGAATCATGTGGAAGCAAGCTGGCTTCCTAGATAATAGTCCTTTATAAATGAGAATGTGTTTGAATATCAATAATTTTGCATTGTATAATCATAATGGATTAGAATTAGCAAATATTATCTGTGACAGAAGCTCCCATCAAGACAGAGCTGTTATATAAATGAATAGCTATCAATGGGAAGAGTAACTTAAATAAAAATGCAATTAGTATTTTAGGTAGTTCTTTGTATCTGTTGACATTAGATCATATTTACTCTTTAATTCCACTCTCTCTATATTTATACAGTCTTCCCTTGGGCAATTAGATACGCATTTGTAAAATAGCACAACATTTGTGGAGGGTAATTTGGCAAAACTAGGAAAATTATATATGTATTTGCCCTTTGACCCAACAATTCCATTCCTACACATCTATACCAGAGACACACACTTGATTGTAAACTGACTTACACATCCACATTCATTATAAAACTTCTATATTATAAAAAAGCTATAAACCCTAATGTTCACTGAGAGGGGACTGATTGAACAATGTGTGGTAAATCCAAACAATGAAACTGTGTAACTGTAAAAAGTTGAAAGATATCTCTTTATACTTCTATGAAATGATCTCTAGGATACTGTGTAAGTGAAAAAAGCTAGACGTGTGTAGAGAAAAATGTACATAGTAGGATGCCATTTATCTAAGGGTGGCAATAGATGTTTGTGTTTTAATACAGGTGAAAACATGTTTTCTTTCTTAGAAAATGGGGCAAAATGAACAAAGTGAGAAAGGAGAGGAAACAGACTTCTTTGACTATACCTCGTTTTGTAGAGTTGACTTTAAAACCATGTAACTTTTACTTATTTTTAACAGAACTTAATAAAAATAAAAGCAATCCCTAAAAATTCTAAATAAAAATAAAACAAATGAACCTAATTATATACTGAACTGGTGGTTTAGAGAGGGGAATTACTTTAAGTGATTTTTAAGAATAATAATTTGACTGTCTAAAGAATAAAAAACAAGGACAAATTTTAACCTGTTTTCAGTAATCCCATTGTTATTAATAATATTGGTATACATAAATACATATGTTGAAGGACAATGAAAATAAGTATTGGTCATGGCATAAAGCAAGTAGTCTTTCAAAGACTACTAGGCCCATGTCAAAACAACACAGGGGCTATATTGAAACTGTTCTCACTGTGGTAGATTGTATCCAAAGATGGGATAATTTTCATATCAATAAAAATAATAAGTGAATATTGAAATACATCTAATATATCAAAAGTTCATGAGTTATTAATGATACCAAAAGGAAAAAAAAATCAGTGATCGCCTTTGGAAACATTACAGTTGTATTATGAAAACTGGCAAATAAAAGACAAGCATTTAATGTAGTCTTCTTTTATGAAATATATTTCAGAGTAGATAGTTAATGAGGAAAAGTTTATCTTTCTCTATGTGTGTGTGTATTCAAGCTAATCAATTAGGAATGATGAAATGACAAAGTGACTGTTTCATAAACCCCTGCTGCCAATAAAGGATCTTAGCGATGATCCCTGACGGCTACTAGAATTACAAAAAGAGACAGCTAGAATATGTGCTTCATAGTAGTAGCACCTCATACCACCAATGAAGTATTCTTAGAAAAATTAACACCAAAGTTCTGTATCTAACTACCAGATTACAGGAAATACAGGGACGAAGGAACATTTTAAATGACACCAGAAGGATGCAATCAGAAAAAGCTAGACAGTGAGAAAATCTACAGGACAAATAACCTGGTTTCTTCAACTAATCAATAGAAAGAGGGAAAGTATAGATTAATAACCTCTAAGAGTTGTCTAACCAAATAACAACCCATGGATTTTGTTTAGATAGAGATCAAAGAAACCATTGTAACAAAAGCAGCCAAGACACAACTGAGGAATTTTTTAAATAATTAGCTGATGATACTGAGGAAGTACTGTTATTTTTCACTTGTAATTCAAGATAACCTAGTGAGGGGCAGCAAGTATGTGGGCATAAAGAAGATACATGACTGGCCATTATTTAATGGTTAACTGGGTGATGGATACATGAGGTGAATTGTACTATTCTGTTTTTGCATATGCTTAAAAGTTTCCCGTAGTAAGATGTTCGGCTAAAAGAAAGAAACGTACCTAAATAATAGCTAAAAAATAAGAGTTAACCATGTGCAGGGGCTGGGAGGTACATGGGAAAACTACTTTCCTCTTAATTTTGCTCTGAATCTAAAACTGTCTAAAGAATAGTCTTTAAAAAAAAGTTAATGGTTACACAACTTTCTAAGGAACCAAATATCATTAATATTGCTTACATCATAGTTCTTTGGAAGTTCAGACATATTTAAGGAGAAAATAAAAGTTTTGCTTTCCAAGTTTATTTTAGAACAACCAACTTTCTGATATAGATGCACATTATTAGATTGCCTTTTGAAGACTCAATGCAGTTACATGGTACAGATTATTTCTTCCACTTAGTCTACTTGGCTTCCACACTAAAAAGGCTGAATAGTGTCATTTGGGGTGTTTGCACACATCTGTGTGTGTCTCTACACAATGCAATGAATAATATAAAAGAACTTAAGAGGATTCATTTTTTTGTTAG